TCTCTCTCTCTCTCTCTCTCTCTCTCTCTCTCTCTCTCTTTCTGGCTATCCACACCTCTATGTGCATTGACAAAAGTGAAATTTTGACATGCTATGGACATGGTCTATCATGGTGTTGTTTTGATTTCCATGCCGGTTTGTTTGGCTTTGTTTGATTTTCCAGAAAGAAGCTGTGCAGGCTGTGGCAGATGGGAAGTCTGTCTTCCTTTGTGCACCAATGGGAGCAGGAAAGAACACGGTTGCTCAATATGTGATACACAAAACACTTGCTCATGTATGTATACAGTAGTATACACATATCTTCTCCCCTCCCTCTTCTCCCGTTCTCTCAGCCCTCGTGCATGAACAAATAAGCCATGCGAGTACACAACATAATCATAGAGGGTTATTGAATATGAGGCAATCACTCTCACAATCACAGTGTGACTTCCTTTTGATACGCAAGCGATCGCAGGCAAGTCAAACCCTGAGTCTTCTCCTCTTCTCCGCCTTGCCGCCCTCTCTAGTGGCCTCATTTTACACCTCCTCTGCTGCTTGTGGAACGGATGTGAAACACAGAATACCAAGGCTCCAGTAAACCACAGCAAGGTGGCCAAATAGGACCTGGCTATAAGCAGGGGTCATGCAGCTACAAGGGCTGTAACACTCACAAGATCCCTGTGAAACAAGGAAGAAATATTGATTGGCTTTGGGGAGCCACGCATCAAGGTTGTGGCTAGATAGCGCAGTAATAAACTGACCAAGTATAAATTTTGTGCCCGTCTTGTCTGAAGTGCTCGCATCTAGGACACACGGAAACCTACGAGAGGGGCCAACAGGCTCGATCTTCTTTCGATGTTTGCGACATTGTAATAAACATAATAATAGAATTAAAGGGCAGAAGTGTTGAAGGCTAGATAGTAGATACACAACGCATTTAGAAGTGCTGAAACAACCACGATATAGTTCAATCTCGATTGAAGAGCAAGTTGTTGTTGTTTACTTATTTATGTTGCTGTCAAAGGTTATTTCGATCACATTCAGCTTTCTCACATTCTGAAATATGAACAAGAGTTGTTGACATCAACTTTAATCAAGTGATCCAAGTAAAGAACCTCTTTCAGAGAGTTCATGTCTGAGAAAAAAGAGCAAAAAAAAAAAAAAAAAAAGGAAAAACAAAAGATTCACACGCCGGTACGTGCGCCCACCTTTTTTTTTTTTTTTTTTAATTGTTGCAGAAGGAGAAGCCGGAGAAACACAAAGCCGAAAGTTGACAGGAGCTTGGAAGTTTGCCTCCTTCCTTCTTGGACAACAGTCACAACACTCTCCCTGATGCTTTTTTCCGTCCCGCAATCGCTGGCCTTGATATGTACTAAAAATTTGAAATTTGAATTGAGTTTACCAAGTGTACAATGGTATAAAGTTACTATAAACCTATAAAGTCAGTGTAATTTAAAAAAAGAAAAAAAAGTTACCGCAACTTACCGGTAAGGCGGTAACTAGATTGAAAATTGAGTAGAGTTTACTCAACTTTACTGTGCAAGAAAAGCACAGCTGGGTTTGATCAAACAGAAACTATTTGACAAGTGAGGAGGTGCTCTTTGAATAGTAAACTCTACTCAAATTTCAGTTGGATTGACTAAACTCTATGCAGTTTACTCAATTCGAATAGATAGAGTTTGCTCAACTTTAGTGTGCCATAAAAGCTTCCGTACTCTTTGACAAGCGAGGCACGAATTCAAAAAATTTCAAACACTCTTGCTCGCAATCTTCTTTTGTTTCTTGTTGTGTTTGTCCTCCATAGCCTCCATAGCCATGGAGGTCTTCTTCATCACTGTCTCGCTCCTCCTCTTCACCCCAGTGCTCCACCAATGTTTCCCTCGGGGCGAAAGGACGTCCTACGACAACAGGTACGAGGAGGAGGAGGAAGCTCGGGACTAGCAGATGAAGAGGGGAAGAGAGAGCTCAGCAGGGGCAATGACTTTCCAGCGAATCGCAAGATGAACAGGAAAAAGACAACCGTCAGGATAGTGGACTTGCAAAAGGGCTTTCACATTAAAAAAGAAAAAAGAAAAAAGAAAGGAGAACGAGCGTATCTGAGGCACCCATGACCACTGCACCTGGCAACGGCGACTGGTGTAGTAAAGCCAACGCTGTCATTGAAGTTGATTGAACGGCAGGGCTTTTTTCCAAAATTGAGGTCCTATCCCTTAAAGTTGGTGGCCCCAAGCAAAAAGGTAGAGTCCCTAGAAAAAAAGGCAATCCCTAAGCGAAGATTCCGAAGAAGGTACAGTCGCTAGAAAAAGGCAAGCCCTATGACAAAAAGGAGTCGGAAGAAGGATGCTCAAAAGTGCAGCTTACCTTCTTCCCCCGAATACAATGTACGGTCATTATAACTGTATTTAGAGAATTTTAGACTGAAAGATACCCCAAATACAGCTATAATGACCGTACATTGTATTCGTGGGGAAGAAGGTAGGGTTCTTTTTTCATTTTTTTTTCCCTTTTTTTTTCTGGATGCTCTCGGTTCTCGACTCCTCGACTTTTCTTAGGGCATACTCGTCGTGCGAGGACTTTTTCAACCTCTTCCTGGACATATAATTGCGGTCGGATGCATCCACACCTGTCCATAACCAGAGTCAGATTCATTAAAGGAAAACTCCTAGTGTGAGTGTGCTCTTTGTGCAGAAAATTACTCAAGGTGGTTGAGTCGCTGAGGGCAAATTATTTTGTCTTTTACTGAAGGCAGTTTTTTTAAGAAACTATTGCTGCATCATGCTTGAGCTGAAACTATAATATTAAATATTTAAATTTTCAACCACCTCTCCCTCCCAGCATCTTTTTCCCAACCCAGATTGCTCCGGGGCGCCCAAAAAAAAAATGGACCGGACAAGGGGCACAAAATATTTGCTTTTGTCTGGGAGCTGCAGCCATTTTGGACTTGTAGGCCAAGCCCCAGTTAAAAAACACCACTCCACCCGGGCCTATTTTGACAAACGGAAAGTTGCACTTCTGTGAGCCTAAAATCTACAGTGCCACCTTGAGGAGTAATAATTGTGGCACCCTTCCCCGCTGAGCCTCTACCGGGCATGGGCACGGTAGATTTTGGCCCGGTAATTGTAGACAAGAAAAATGAACAGTGCAGGGATCGTTGGAGTGTTGGTTTATACCACCAGTACCCCAGGGGGTCTTAGGCCGGGCCCCCCTCTGGGAAGGCTCCGATGCAAATGCATATGGACCCGCGCGGCGCACCGATTCTGCCACCATGTTAACGGCCTAAAAACGTCCAGGTACTGGTGGTTTAACCCGCCATGATAACCACCATGTTGGAACAAAATAGCTGGGAAAGGGGCTGGGGGCTTAAGGGAATTTATGCGAAGTAGCAGAATCCCTTTGGTCTCTGTATGTCTGGAACCCCCCCTCAGTTTTGCTTGATTGGTATGGGACTGAGATCATCTTACTTACAGTGGGCCTTTTTTGACTGAATTTTTGAAGTCAATTGTGGTCGGGTGCATCCGGGAGCGGCGGCCCTAATTGTGGTCATCCCTACGTCCACGAAAGTCCTAGTGCATGGCCTGAGTAGTTGATAACTTGAACTGTCTGGGAAAATCCCCTCACTTCGTTGATGGTGTTGTTATTTGCTTGGACAGGGTAAAAGGGCAGTGTTTCTGACTCCTACAAATGAGCTAGCACAGCAGCGCTTCATTCAGCTCCAGGTGGGACACAACAGTTTCTGACATATTTTTGATTTTATTTGTTTATTTATTAAATGACGTGTTCCTCTTTTCCCTTTGACTTACGCAGCATGGAGGCAAAAATCTTTTTGAAGCCTTTTTTTAATTGGAATTTGGAACCTTGAGCACACCCCCATCCTCTTCGGCGGACCCGGGGCAAGGTCCCACTTGCCAGATTCATTGTTCCTGGCTACTTATCCGTGTAAATCTAAGGGAAGCGGAACCCCCATGGATGGTGGGGATCATAACGTTTAGAGGCCAAAAAACTTGAAAAAGGGGTTAACCACTTGTGGCCCATGGCCAACGCGGGCGGGCTAGCTCGCCCCAGAACAGCCATGGCATGCATATGCTGGTGGTTCAAGTTGCACGTGCGTATAAGTGGTGCCTGTTCTTTTTTTTTTTGGTACAAAATTTGTAGTGATTTTTGTGCAGGTTATTCATTTTTTTCATTTTTTTCCAAGAATGCTCCGATCTCTTGGTGGGGAGCTGCACCCCTATAGTTTCTCTATACGTGGAATGAGACAGCTTAAAATAGATATAATATTATTAATATATATTATTATATATGTATATTGACAATATATATGTACATAGGGATAATATATATAGCAGAAGAGGAAAACCAATAGGCAGAGGGAGAAAATAAAAATAAAAAATGTTGACACAAACATCTTCTTTCTTTTACTGCATTCTTCTTTCTTTCACAGTTTTGCAGTTTTGGTGAAGAGTCTACCACGTCCGCTTTTCAGCGCACCTGCACTTCCTTCTTCATTTTACATCCTCATTTTCACCCTTCGGACTTTTCTTTTGAGGGTATTAGGGTGCAGGGTACAAACAAAGTAAAATGACACAAACTTATGTTCTTCTTTTATTGCCCGCCTCTACACCTATCTCTGTGCCTGCCTCCGTACCTGTCTCTGTGCCTATTTGTGTGTCTGTCTCTTTCCAGATTACTGACTCTATGGGTACCATGTGTACTTCCATCCCCGCCTCTGCACCTGTCTTTGTGCCTGTGTCCACACCTGTCTCCATGCCCATTTCTGTGTCTGTCTCCGTGCCTACCTCCATGTCTGTCACCGTGCCTACTTTAGTCTTTATTCCCCCACATGCTGCACTAACACCTTGTGACCTCCTTCTTTGTGAGATCACTGACACAGTTACACTGGGTTGTGGAAAGCATCGACTTCGTTGACATCACTACAACGGTATAATTTTTTGGGCCCGCTGTCGGCAGGGATGCCACCTGTATCTGGATTGTGAACATCCTCTACATCCAGATGCAGTATGTCCCATCTGTGCCTGCGGGCGCTATAGCAAATGTGCACTTAACTGTGATGGTGAACGCCCCACAATCGTCATGGCCTGCAACCGGCATGCCCTCTGTCGYGCATGCTTCAGAGGTATGGTTAATGCTAGCCGCCCTGACTCCTGCTGTGACGAAGTTGCTTACCTGAATGGTTTTTGTCCTGTAGATCAGCGGGAGGGCTGCTACCATCGCCCGCATCCTTATGACAGTTGTCCTATCTGTCGTGAGGGTCTTACTTAGACGTACCTTGCACCCTGACAAAAATGTGCAGGTGTGCTGAAAAGAGTGTACAAGAATGTGCAAAGGTGGGGAACCCTTCACTAAAACTGCAAAACTGTGAAGAATGCAGTAAAAGAAGAACATAAGTTTGCGTCATTTTACTTTGTTTGTACCCTGCACCCTAACACCCTAAAAAGAAACGTCCGAAGGGTGAAAATGAGGATGAAAAATGAAGAAGGAAGCGCAGGTGCGCTGAAAAGCGAACGTGGTAGACTCTTCACCAGAACTGCAAAACTGTGAAAGAAAGAAGAATGCAGTAAAAGTAAGAAGATGTTTGTGTCAACATTTTTTATTTTTATTTTTTCTCCCTCTGCCTATTGGTTTTCCTTTTCTGCTCCTCTCTTCCTTGTGTTTAGCACCTCTTCCTTCACTCTGCCTCTTTCCCATAGCGTGCAAGTGGGCTGTTATGGTATACGGGGATGGGGGCAGCTCGCGCTCAACTTCATCAACGTGGCGAGCCTTGTACATTAGAGGCACAGTGGAGGAGGCGTTAAGAAGACTGAGAAACTGAATGTCGGTCGGTTGGTCGGCCGGCCGGCCGGCCGGCTGGCCAAGGTTTACCTTGAACCATCTCTTCACTCTCCACTGTCTCCAGGCAAAAATGTGTGCATCGGACTGCATCCGCAGCTTTTGGGAGATCAGGGCTACTGCCAAAATGGCTTCCTCTTTTTTTTTTTTTTTTTTTTTTTTTTTTAAGGACATGCTCCAATCTATTCGTGGAGAGCAGCACGTGCTGGGAATCGGGCCCAGCGTCCCATATGAAGACATGTAGAAAAGGTTTATGAACAAATTGAAGTACCGGGGCCATTACCCGGTTTCGGCTTGAGAGTATCCTCCAAGATCATAAACAAACTGCTGAACATCTATACCAAAATGGCTTCCTGTCACCAGCCAAAAAGAAAAGAAATTGTGCCTGCGCCTTGTTGTGGCGCTCAGCACGATCAAAGTATTCAAAACAGCCTCGGGCATAGTGGTGGTTTAAACGACCAGTACTTTTCCCAGGCGTTTTTCTTGGACACAGCCGTGCACACGCCTCAACTTTCGGGGCATGGGCTACCAGAGAGCTAAATGGCTAGCGGCGCCAGCCAAAAGAGTTCTTGGTGTGCAGGGGGAATGTGCTTCAGCAAAACGAAGCCTCTAAGTACTGGTGTGTTTAAGAGTCGAGGGCCTCCCCTCTCAACATGGAAGGGAGATCCCGGACTCGACTGTCCGGTCCCCTTGGGCTTCCTTGGAAGCTTTCCAGCAAATTTCACGATGTGAACTGATACCGCATGTGAGAGAGGCCGATCCAACGGCAAAATGCTCTTTTGGGTTGAGAGAGCGTCTCTTGGGTTTCGACTCGCGAGTAATCAGGTGGCCTCCTCAAAATCTGAGACAATCCCTTTCGCCGTGGATCACCTACCTCTCCACTTGTCATTCTGTGCATCATACATGCGACACATTCACCAAATAGGACGCCACACCCGTAAGGCTGTCAGCTCCCATGAGAGTGTAAACAGGGTGTTATTAATGCTCCCCGCCAATAGATGGAGCAGCCGGTAATGGACGTACTCGGGGAGGCTGCTCATCTCACTCTCCCCTCGTAGACCTGGCCTGGCCTTACCTCAAAAAAAAAAAAAAAACACCTCCCTCGTTGAAGAATGTACACACATGCAGATGCTTGGGAGTATGTGCAGTAGGACACACTGATCTGATCTCTGTTGACGAGAGAGTTGGGGAGGAGGGGGGGGGGGGGGGGGGGGGGGGGGGGGGGGGGGGGGGGGGGAGGGACGGGGAGGGACAGGGAGGAAGGGGAGCGATCTCTGCTTTGCCAGTCGTTGTTTTGACAAAATGGACATTTGGTTTGGCTGCGAAATGCAGAAAATCTTCGGGAGAGACAGGGTGGGTGCAGCTTGGAGATACTCCGCTGAGAGACCGGATGCACGACTTGTTGTGACGACAGCTGAGTTGATGCGAAAGGCATTATATCCGTGTAATAAAAATGGTGAGCCAGCGTGCCTAGGTTTGACTGTGGAGAATGTTGAGCTGATGATCCTTGATGAGTTTCACACGCTGGCAGAGCGGACACGTGGAAGCCACTGGGAAGAGGTGGTGATGCTTGCCGGATCTCAGGTGACTACTCACCGAGCCCCAGCGTCCTCGGCCCACTTTGGTAGTCTTTTCCTTTTCCTTCCCCTTGTTCCGATTCCTTTATTTCTTCTCCTGATGCTTGCGCCTATTCAAGTCCCTTTTTCTTTTCCCTATTTCCCTCTTTTCTTTGTTGTGGGTGTGGGAGAGGGGGGGGGGGAGGGAAGGGATGATAACTGAGCTACCCTGGAAAGCGAGTGGCCATGATTTGCATTTGAGTGCTTTTGTTGGCTAATGGAAGTTGCGCCCCTGCAAACATCCCTCAAAGACTTCACCTTTCTGTCCTTTTGTTGAAGTCCCTTTTTTTTTTTTTTTTTGTGAAACATCAGGGTTGGGAGGCCGCTCAAAGAGGTGATATCTGAAATTCCAGGTCTGCCAAATTAAATGCTATCCTCCCTCTGGGTCTAGAATGGTCCTCCGGCAACCCCAGTTTCGTATTTGCATGCACGATTGTAAGAGAAGCATGCGGAATTACAAAAATGAAAAAAAAATCAGCATACATGCAGAGAACTCAGACAAGTATTCCCCAGATGTTGCAAAACCTAGCAAAACCCAGCAAAACCCAGCAGAACCCAGCAAAACCCAGCAGAACCCAGCAAAACGGAGCAAAACCCAGCAAAACCTAGCAAAACCCCAGCAAAACCCCAGCAACCGCAGCAAACCCCAGCAAACCCCTGCAAAACACAGCGCGGACTCAGACTGACCCACAGTTGCAAAACCTAGCAAAACCCAGCAAAACCCAGCAGAACCCAGCAAACCCCAGCAGAACCCAGCAAAACGCAGCAAAACCCAGCAAAGCCTAGCAAAACCCCAGCAAAACCCCAGCAACCCCAGCAAACCCTAGCAAACCCCTGCAAAACACAGCGCGGACTCTGACTGACCCACAGTTGCAAAACCTAGCAAAACCCAGCAAAACCCAGCAGAACCCAGCAAAACCCAGCAGAACCCAGCAAAACCCAGCAGAACCCAGCAAAACGCAGCAAAACTCAGCAAAGCCTAGCAAAACCCCAACAAAACCCCAGCAACCCCAGCAAACCCCAGCAAACCCCTGCAAAACACAGCGCGGACTCAGACTGACCCACAGTTGCTACTCAGTTCCATGGGCCGTACGGATAGAAAAGTACGAGGGCTCCAGTGTCATATGTGGGAAGATATCTTTCTGGGACCAGGTAATAGGGATCAGGTCCCAGAAGTTCTACTTCTGGTACCATCCTGGCATCCTCCTTCTGGTAGCATTCTCCTTCTAGACCAGGTACCAGAAGGTCCCAGAATTTCTTCTTGTGGTACCATCCTCCTTGTAGCACCATACTCCCTCTGGTACTGTACTCCAAAAGGAAAGGGATGTTGTGATAAGCCAAGTTCCGTACCTCTCGGCTCCACGTACCCTTCGGATTAAACCCCGAAGTACGAATCTTGGCTGGCTACAGAAATGGGGTCCGTTTTGAATTTCTGAGGGCCATCTGCATGCATCTTTTGGGTTTCCCCTTGTCCTTGTTCAGAGTAGCCTCGTGCAACCAACTAGCGACCACCCGGAGATTTCAAGAAACAGTTGTGATTTTCGGTTGACAGTGTTTTAATTTTCTTTGAATTTTTGAATTCTTGCTTGCCACGCAAGCTCGCTTCCCGCTTTGTGCGCGCACGCCAACTTCCGTTCTTGCTGTCCCTCATCTCTGCTCACCTCTTCGTCTTCCTCCAGACCCTTTGTCCGATCTCCTCCTTGTTCTTCAGCGCAGTTGATTGGCCGTCAATTGGGTTGGTCGGATCAAGCTGCAAGGGCGAACTTATGCGCATGGCTTGAACGACCACCCCAAGTGAACGAAAATTTCAATCGTCCCACCTTCTTCGATTCTCTGGAACCTTCTTCCTTCTCTCCTCCTCATCTACACCCCTCGCTACCCGCATTGCACACTGGTGCCCCACCGCCTTCCACGCTATAAATTTGTGCAACCCCTTCATCTCCCCCTCTTTGATCTCGGCTGCAATGCTGCGCCAGCTATGTGTGAAGACTGCGGCGCCGAACAGGTTTGACGTGCCCAAGGAACGGGCAGGGTAACATTGTGGGATGGAATTAGCAATAGACTTGGGGTAAGGCAATTGGAAGAACGAGTGGTGGGGCCTTGTGGCTATGGCAGGCCCGTGTTCGGTCGGGTTTGGTGGCCGTTCACGTGGAGTGCCGGTGTTGTTGTAATTTTGAATAGCGAGGGAGTCGCTTCGTCTCCGTCGCTGCTTTGTCCATTTATTGCGTACCCTAAGACTAAGTGTGGATGCTCAGTCGTGTGCATGTCTTTGGTTGTGAGTGTCTATGGATGCTGAATGCTTCGCTGTTAGAAAGTCTATACGTTTATGAGAATTGCAGGCGTGTGGTATCTTCGTCTTGTGGCCCACCTGAGTGCGCGTCCGGGGCATTCGGTGTTGGATGTCTGCCTGAGTGCATGAGTATGCCGATGCCCTCTTCCCCCTCCCGACTAACTGCCGATCCCCGCGCTTAGAGCGTGTGCGGGATTGTCGTCGGCCTTTCTCTCCTCTCCCCTGGTTGCGCAGGCGCCATGTGTCAACTTCTCCGCTCACCCGGGCGTAGGCGCAGGCGACCAGAGACATCGGGTGCGTGGGTTTATTTGCTCCACCTGACCTCTCTGCTGCCGGCCATCGCCGTTTTGTCAAGGTGACATTTTTGTTGGGGGTCAACACAATTAGCAGCTTGCGTTTCTTTAGTGGGATTGGGCATAGTGGGACGAGTAGAGACGTGTATGGAGTCAAGATTTGCTACTCTGAACGAGACCGTGGGCAGTTGCCCGTGCTGGAACCTTACATCGATCCGCCATAGCGACCTCCCTCCCTTTCCGATTGCGGACGAGGACAACCTTTACTGTGACGCGGACGTAAGGAGGATGCTATTGCGGATCGATCGGGTTCACCTGTATAACCCGTCGAAGGCATGCCGCATAGGGGGATCGGGGTTCGTTTTGATAGATTGGTTTGATTCCCCGTCACTGATTTTGCCATATACTGATCTGACTGTTCTCCCCTGGTCTGCGGCGCATGCCATGTGGAAGCCTCAGTAGTGCCGGCAAGGAAACTCGTGTTCCTGGCGGAGGTTGGCGCTGGGGTATGGAGGGTCCGTCCGGTTCCCGGATCTCTCCCGCAACGCGGGGGCTCTTCCAGTGAACTTCCGGACCTGGGTACCTCTGCTCCCATCCCCGTGAGATGATGAGGGATCAAGTCGATCGGACAGGCTTCGCGGACCTGACTCGGACACCTAGGGTGTCTTCTGTCTCCTTGGCCCCCACGAAAAGGGCGGCGTGAACCTAACAAAAAAAAAGCGATAGATCCATTGTCTCTTTTTGTATACTCTTTGCGGTTATCTGCTGCCTCAACAGAAGTTGTATCTGTGTCCCTAAGTCGAAGGACGGAATTCTGTCGATGCCCCGCCCTTCTGCGGCCGTCTAGATCTTGAAATTTTGTGATTACCCTCATCGGCCAGAGTTTCCGAAACGACCCTCGGGACTGAGGTGAGAACCCCAGTTTCGCCCTGGCCCCCCGCCCAAAATCCTTGGCCACGCCCCCATCACTCTGATCTGTGCTCCCCCGGGTACGGGACTCTGTGCGGGGCGTGAGGTTAAGTATCACGATCTTCCCATGTCAACGTAGGAAGACAGGTGTTGCTACAATGACTTCATGCATGAATCTGTTATGTGTTACTGTTTTACAAGTTGGTACACCTACAAGCTGTTGAAATACAGACCTGAGGTCGAATCCAGATGAACGGAGTTCCTGAATTACCTGGGGGACCTCTCAGTTCCACGATGATATCTCAAGGCCATCACCGTTTTTAAGAAAAGCTTGTAAAAGAGGACTTCATGGACCACCTTCGTATAAGCTCTCCTTTCCTCCCTGCTTCAGCTCCAATCCTCTCCCCCTAGTCCTGATTATGTGCAATATATATTGTTGAATTGTTCTCAATACTCTTCTTGCAATCCATCTTGCCTTTGCCGATCCTCTCTCATTTACCTGCCTGTGAAAGAATGAACCTGAAAGGATTTCGCACAGTCAGTCCCCGAAGCCCCATTCCTAGGGTCCCTGAAGCCCGTTCCTAAGGTCCCGGTCCCAGGCTGTCCCGGTATGGTAGGTCTTAGGGCCCGTAGGTTGGAGTGTCGTAAGTCGGTAGGAGGCGGGTACCAAAGCGCCGCAGTCCAGCAAAAGTCTGCTGGTACCTGCAGAGGTAGTCAAGTCCCAAGTCCAAATTTGCAGCAGCATCCCAAGAAAGTCCAGAGACTTCTGGAAACACCAATTTTGGCAAGGCAGAGGCCACGGGCGACCGGCACCGGTCCGAAGCAGGCACGTACAGTCAACTTTAGCTGCTACAGTGCCAAGTCAAATCAGTTGTTGATTTGCAAAGTTGCAGAAGCGCTGTTTGCTGTTTGTGCGATAGTGCGACCTGGACGAAGGACGAAGCGCGGGGGGATAAGCAGGCACCCTGGTGATGAGAGTCAGGCATAGCTAGGATAGTAGGGAGGAGGAAGACAGCAGCCACAGCCGCCAGGCTGAGGAGATACATCACAACTGTATTCAGGGTAGATCCTAGAAGAGAGAGAGAGGGAGGTTGAGCGCAGTGAGGCAGAGAGGACGAAGACTGGAGAGAGAGAGTTTAGAGAGAGAGAGAGAGAGAGAGAGAGAGAGAGAGAGAGAGAGAGAGAGAGAGAGAGAGAGAGAGAGAGAGAGAGAGA